ATCTCTCCGGCTGTTCAACTTACTTCCCACCACCTCCTCGAACTTGACAATACTTTTTTATACCATCTAATGACTGTTGGTGATAAATTGAACACTCAGCACTCCAAGAGCTAAATAATTTATATCCTGAGCTGGCTTCAATTTGGCTTGAATCACAGAAGGCATAGGTTCAGACTGATAAATTTTCTTCTATACACTCCCTAGGCATTTATATGTGTGTCTTACAACCAACACCTCCCTCATGGTTTATTAGGTATTTTGAAACTCTAAACTTTATATGGAAAAAAAAAAATTCACCCCAACCTGGACGCCCCCCCCGCCCCCTCCCCACTATGGAATTTTAATCCCGATTCCCCCTTGGACAGGAGATTTGAAAACACGTGAGGTCAACAAACATGTCTCTTCTTCGCTCTCACCATGTCCGAACAACCCGAGAACCCCCACACTGCATGCCAGATCCTGAAGTGCAATGTCATTCGAACACTTCGCACCCAACGCGGTGCAGAGACCCAGATCAACCACCAGATCGACAAGGTCCTGCAGTTCTCTGCTGCAGTACAACTTGCACGTCTTGTTTTGCACATTCTTTGACTATGCTGATGATCACTGGCTTTAGCATCGCAACATGGTTGATGCCCTGGGAGAAGCATGCCACCTGTCCTCAGATCCACCAACTGCTTGAACATTGGTTGTCACCTCCCACACGAGTTCAGGAGGGCGGCCCTGTGTTCATCGATCCCGATGTACTTGCTAAGGCGCTCAGTCTGCGCGGACCTACTAGGCTACCCACCTGCAAGGGGTATTTCAGGTTTGTGCTCAGACCATTTGATGCTGGGCACTTGAATACGGACTTGTTGAGCCTGGGGAATCAGTGTAGACAGATACGCCCCAGCCTTACAGGTCAACTTCTCGTGTATACACATTGACATCTGCTCCTGTCTCTACTAGTACCATCAGCAATGAAGAGCTCGACTCTATCCTTGCAGTCCTACTCCAGACATTTTCTAATTTCAGCTGTCACATGCTCAAGGGCCGTCTGAGAGTTCTAACCATGTCCCTCTGTGAAGCGGTCGAGCTTCGGCACGGGGGCTTCTCGTTGGAGGAGACCAGAGAGTGAGTGCCACAAGCACTAGTCCAAGATTCATGAAGTGAGTCTTGCGCCATAAACGAGAGTGCTGCTCTCATCCGGAGTTGTGTAACCCTTCGAGCGGGCTCCTGTCACCCGAGAGAGGGGGGCAGTGTGTGGATACCCAGCCAAAGAGATGAGCTAGACATAGCTCATCTCTTCCATGCGAGCTGCACTTAGTCATACATGGAAGTAATAAACAAGGAATAATTGCATTACACGTGACACATCGTGATATAAAGTACATAATCCCGAGGCAGGCGAAAACATGTGATGTGAATTATATACAATATAAATCCCCTTCACAGAGCCCCATGTTTACGCCTCTCTTTGTCTTGCTGTTTGCGAACTGCTTTCGAGGGTTGCCCATGCCTCTTCTTTCCCTTTGACACTGTGCTTGTGCTTGTGTTCCTTGTAGCGATCTGTTCCTCAAGGCTTAGGCCGAGACGCCCAAACAGTGTGCAGGTTCCTCATTCCTCTGCTTGCACAGGGTTCCAAATGTGCGAGCAAACTTGGCCCCGGCACTGATGGGTTGATTGCCATGGCTTCAGGCATGGATCCTCCCCTCCTCTTCCTTTTATTGGAGGACTGAGGCAGTGGGCGCACATGCTGCTCCTCGCGCTTGCCCCCCGGACTACGACTTCTTGATCAAGAGGAAGAGCAGTGCCACAACTCTGAACTCGTGGAGCAGCATCTCTGAGTACTTGTGTGGCCTCCTGAAAGGCGGGGACCAGTTTCGGGACCTTCCTCTAGTATAACGAGGAGGGGATCGTGGTCTCCTTTCATCGTGCCCCCAAGGTGATGCACTGTGGCAGTGCTGAGGCGGTGCATAGGGGGATCGCGAACATCGACAAAAGAGCTGACCCTGTAGTACCATTATAATGTGCCCTGTTTTGCCAGCGGTGCACATTAGAATGTGCACTTTGCACTGCCAGGCCTAGTGCACATTATAATGTGCACCCTGGGCGGCCGCAGGGCAGCAGCTCGGCATTCCCTTACCCTTGTTGCACGCTGTTTGTTCTCATCCCAATTGGGCTTGGCCCAATATTTTATTCCATTTTAGGCTCGCCTCAATATTTAATTTCGCCTAGCTAATAAATTTTGATCCCATCACGTGCTTTCATCGCCTTCGTTTTCTTTGCTGCATTCTTCCTGGCCTCCCTCCTCTTCACTGACTCTTTTTCCGCCGCTGCCCTCTGCGATCTCCTCTGCTCGGTCCTTCTCCAGCTGTTTCCCATCCTCCTCTGTTATTGTCTCCGTCATTGCCCCCAATGAATACATCACGTCCTCCAGCATATAGTGCCACTCCATATCTGCACCCAACACTGCCTCGCCCGCTCCCAGTCCCTCCCCCGTGGCCTCAGAGACAATTGACTGCATGCACCAGGCAGCTCCTGCCCGCATGTCGGGCACAATGACCACTCTTGATCTTCTGCGAGGTCTGCCAGTCGCGATTCAGCCCAATGTCACACCACCAGGCCAGCATCCACATCCCGAAGCTTGGCTTCAACTTTTCAAAGTCCCCCCCTTTCTGTGCTCCTTCATCCATGTGGCAATCTCCTCGGGTCGCAGCCTGCTACGCAGCAGCAATTTGTCCTGCCACAGCTGTGACACCTCGTACTGCACCACCATCTGTACCAATAGCTTCCAATGTGGCCCCCACTCCTTCTCCTGCATCAGCTTGTACAGGTCGAACTGAGTTTGTGACCAGTGCCATTGATCCAGCTCCATTGGAGCCTGCGATGGCCACGGCGGGAGAGCGTGACGGGGACAGGGATGGCACCCCCGAAGAGAGGGAGGGTGTTATATCCGTGTCAAGGGGAGAGAAAAGAAGGAGAGGGGATAGGTTCCAGATGGGTTATGACCGGGCTCGGGAATGCCGGAGGTCAACGGAAGTAAACGGGAGAGGATTCCGGAACATGGATATGGACCACTACACCACAGCTAGGTTTAAGGGTGAGCGTACTATCTGGTTGGCTAGGAACGAAGGAGGAGGGAAAGGGAGACGTCCGAGGGTTACCGGAAGTGATGGCCGATAAGCCGGAGGAGTAATGCCGAAAGCTGGAGGAAGTCCGGTAAGCCGGGGGTGATATGCCAAAGGCCGGGCGATGTCCGGTAATCCGGAAGTTATGTGGAGGTTCACGGATGTATAAGTCCGGACATCCGGGAAAGGTTTTCGACAAGTCCGGTCGTCGGACGGAAGACGGAAATCAAGTCCGTCGGCCGGAGTACTCGGACGTTGGAGGAAGTGTCAAGACAACGGAGAATGACGGAAAGCCAAACAACGTTAGACAGGAATGAACGTTTATAATCAATCTAAAGTACATGATCGTAATCTAGACATTTTATAGTAATAGCGGAGGTAAGTATATATAAGGAAATTGATTAGAGAACAAGGGAAGAATAAAAGGAGAACATAGCTTCTTGTATAAGTACAAGGGAGATGACGGATTGAGAACATAGAGCATGTGTGCATAACAAGAGTGCATGTGGAGATCTGCCGCTAAGGCGGATAGACGGTTGTGTGAAAACTCGACATCGGCCGAAGGGCCGGATGAAGTCCAATAAGAGCCGGAGTGTTCCGGAGAAGACCGGAACATTAAGCCGGAAGAGGACGGAGATGAGCGGATGATAAGCGGAAGTCATCCGGTCGTAATCCGGATGTCGTCCGGGATTGAGCCGGAGGTAAACCGGCGTAGACCGGGAGTTGACCGGGAGTTGACCGGGAGATGGCCGGAGGTTATCGGAATGTGAACGGATGTATACCGGAGTATACTGGAAGTAGTCGGATGAGATCCGGATGAGTTCGTGGTGGTACGGGATGTAACAGAGGGGGGGGAGGAGGAGGAGGAAGAGGAGGAGGAGGAGGAAGAAGAGGAGGAGGAGGAGGAGGAGGAAGAGGAGGAGGAGGAGGAAGAGGAGGAGGAGGAGGAAGAGGAGGAGGAGGAGGAGGAGGAAGAGGAGAGGGGACGGGTGTTGGTGTCGTCGCCGGAGGTAGAGGCGCCTGGATTGGGGTCAAGCCCGCGGGCACAGGTTCAGTGCCAGTGCCGGAGGTGGGGGCATGGATATGTGCTCACCCTCTGGTGCGATCAGGATGAGGCTGTCCAGAATCTTGCCTTCAAGAGGCGGCCATGTGCATGCTCTGCACTGATCCTTAGCTACAGAAACCTTGGTAAGTACTAAACTCCCTCTCTATCTGAGCTCACGTACTGAAGAAAGCATGCCCATAGCACCTGAGCAACAACTCTGCAGCCGTGAATGCCGCCTGGTCAAACTTGCCCCAAATTTTTGAGGTCTGCCCACCCGATGTATCTGAAAATACTCTGCAACAGTGTCAGTAAAGACCCCCACTTCATTTTTCCTCGTCACTCATGAGCGTAGGTGCACCTCCCCCCGCTAGTCACTGACAGGCCCAACCGTGAGGATGATGACATGCATCCCAAGATGCTCCACCAATACATCCGCGAGTGGCATCCCCACCTCGTTGAGGCTCTGCAAAGCCCTGGGAGATACGTCAGATCCGCCTCAAATGCATGCTGCTACAACTTACTTATGATATTCCTCCGCTGACTGCTCTGGCAATTTCTGGCACACGCGGAACGCCTCCATAGCCGCCTCATGCGACGCCTCCACCTCAACTATTATCTCCTCCTTCACATGCTCCGCCTCCCCCTCCCAGCAAGACCTCATATATTCTTGGCACGTCAAGACACGTGCACTTGACGGAAGGGAAGTCAAGTATGCCGCTGGCAAGATCCCGGAATGATGCATGGTGCGAGGGAAGAGAAGAGTACACTTGAAGACTCAACAAGAGGAGGGAAGTTCTGGGAATGTTATGAGAGAACAAAAAGAGGCGGCCGGGAAGCGAAAAAACTTCCGGTACGGGGAATCGAACCCCGAGCTGCCGCGATGAGTATATTGTCAACGCAAACGATGAAAAGCGGCAATGTTGACCGTTACACCATACCGGAGATGAGAGGTAACTGAGAGGAGGGCATCAGGTTGGAGGGGGGTCAATGGATCAGAAAAACAATTTTTTAGAATTTTGGGTTCAATTTTGGATTTTAGAAATAATAAACATGGAGGGCGCGATTATTTTCCGCAAAGCAGTGGCAGGTGCGCATGGTACGTTCCTTGTGCAGTAATGAATGGGGGAAAATGACTAGTCCCCATGTTTACACACAACTTTGAAGGAAGGATCAAAACAAGTCAAAATCAAAGCTCCGACCTAGTCAGAAGGACCCTGTCCCTGAGACTAACCTATGTGCGTGAACTTGACTTTCAATGAAATGTCGCGTTGAGTGCGCTGCTTTAGCTAGTTTAGTGATCATCAGGACCAAATTTGGGGGTGTAGAGCCCTTGAAAGGCAAGGGCTTTGAGTAAATTGCAGGGATAACAGAGCAGATATATTTGATACGAGTCTGAGACGGAGCGCGAAGCATCAATAGAAACCATCCTAATATGGACCAGGACGCCAATGTCCATAAGAGGCAGCTCATCACGTGAAATGCAAAGACCTCGCCTCGTCTCCCCTGCTACAAGCATCGCCTGTCTGTTCAATTTATCTCCGAATATCCATTAGATCATCTATTCACCCAGAGCTATGCTAGGTTCGGGAGGCAGAAGCAGAAATCAACATTTGATCGCAACGAAATATCGAGTGTTTCAACGAAGAAGTTGATGCATGGGGAGAAGAGAGCTGAGAAATAATTTGAGGAGGAGTACAGCTGAGATTGCGAAAGCACGAGAAAAAAACCGAACTGGAATGTTGACCGTTACACCACACTGGATTTGCCTGGAAGGGGTCCAACATTTGATCGGAGCGAAATATTGGGCGTTTCAACGAAGAATTTGATGCAAGTAGAGAAGGGAGCTGAGAGATAATTTGAGGAGGAGTACAGCCTAGATTGCGAAAGCAGGAGAAAAAAAACCGAACTGGAATGTTGACCGTTACACCACACCGGATTTGCCTGGAAGAAAGCCGATGACAGCCTCGGATAAAATTGAGGGAAGAAGTCGGCGGTAGATACATCGCCTGTGTATCTGACTCAGGCCGCAGGGTTGCAGAACTCGGCCACTCGGAAGAAAAGGAATAAGATGATAGTAATCCGTGTGGACGGGCGCGAAGAAGGAGGATTACCAAATGGTCCTGCTCGGACAATTTATTCTTCGGCTTTGCTATTTCCTCGGCGCCTCAGACTTCCACGGTGGTCTTGCCTGGCCGTGCCGCACAATGCTGAAACAGAGCCTGGTTTCGAGGCAACCAGGGAGGATTCCCGAGTCTATCAATGTGAACTACGGCTGCAACTAAAAAATACGCGAGCAGACTGTTCAACCCTGAGTTACCGTCAGTGTGGAGCCAGCGCATGCGTCCGACGTACGTATTGGCGGCCCAGCGACCATCATCGCGTACGGTGCATAAGCGACGGGGCCGTGAGCTGTCAACGGATGGTTCATTCTCGCCCTCGTTCAGAATGTTTATTCAAATTCAATGTTGACCGTTACACCATACCGGAGATGAGAGGCGACTGAGAGGAGGACATGAGGTTAGAGGGGGGTCAATATATCAGACACAAATTTTCAGAATTTTGCGTTCAATTTTGGATTTTAGAAGTAATAAACAAGGAGGGCGCAATTATTTCCCACAAAGCAGTGGCGGGCGCGTATGGTACGTCCCTTGTGCAGCAGTGAACGGAGAAAAAAAGTGACTAGTCCCCATGTTTCCACACAACTTTGAAGGAAGTATCAAAACAAGTCAAAAGCAAAGCTCCGACCTAGTCAGAAGGACCCTGTCCCTGAGACTAACCCATGTGCGTGAACTTCACTTTCAATGAAATGTTGCTTTGAGTGCGCTGCTTTGAAGCGGACTTTAGCTAGTTTAGTGATCATCAGGACCAAATTTGGGGGTGTAGAGCCCTTGAAAGGCAAGGGCTTTGAGTAAATTGCAGGGGATCACAGAGCAGATATATTTGATACGAATCTGAGACGGAGCGTGAAGCATCAATAGAAATTACAGGACGGCCTCCGCTTCGCTCCGGCATTATTCAAGCTGAATGAAGTTTTCCTTTTGTAAGGTAAGGAACAATGAACAAAATGAGGTGGAAGCCGCTGGGGAACTGAAGTCTGAATGAAGTGGGTTCATAGTGAAAAAGAACAACAGAAATTAAAGAGAAAAGAAAAGAGGAAAGAACCGAGAGAAGAGGTCGCGATCAAATTATGCGCGAACACAACCTTTCTTGAATGGAGGGCGGTTGATTCATGCAATTCAATGATTCGTGGGCACGGGAGTTCTCTTGGATCCAAAATACTTCAAATACCTCGCGAGAGCGGGGTGTTGGTATCCGCCAGGATGGACACTGTTACAGACCAGGCCGACAGCGTTCGAACCAGGGAATTGATATTGAGATTCAGAACAGTTGGGGACCCACTACGGGTGCAAGAATACGAGAGCAACCATTGACGCGTCAAGAAACTTGAAGCATGGGTCGGAAATCAAGAGGACACAACCATAGTTACCGTATAATTATGTTTAATTCGATACTAATCGATATCGCAAAATGGTCGGGGTCACGGGTCACGGCGACCTCTCTCGAACGTCCAAACCGTCAAAGAGGCCTTG